AAATATTTAACGTTAATTTTCTTCGGGGGGACTACTGTATTGGTCAATGAGTGATTGTATTCAGAAGGTGGAATAGGAGTATAAGTCGAACTTTTCACACCCCCCTCCACTCCCATACTCCTTGTATTATGATATCTTGCTTCATTTTGGGGCGTGTCCAGATACCCAGGGCACCCCCCTGGCTACGTCCCTGTGTAGGGTTTGCTGTCTCGTAGAGTGATTTGGAATCTCTTTGGTGGGGTTACAGAATTTCGATACATCCGCGGGTTTTGTGAAATCGTCTCAATGTCGGGTGAATGTCAATAAACCCTAGGGAGATTCTACATCTCTTGACCCAAATATCGTCCTTCCCACTGCTCGACTAGTCCCACCGCGGACTATCTTCCATACGTGTGTGCGAGCGGCTTGAGAGAATCGTCACGGCGAAGTGTCGCCTCATGCCTGCATCTACTAAAGAGACAGTGGAAGCGTCTATAAAGGGGGAAGTCCGAGTGCGAGCCGAGCAATTCAGATGGTTTGAGGACCACCGCTGGGGTTATCAGAGAGTTTGCAGAATTCCGTCTCCAGGACGGGAACGGGATGTTTTTCAGGGTATTGGGATGGATGTTAAGCCCCAGCCGCTTTCGTTCGCAGTCTCGTTCCGCACACTATTAACCGTTCTGCCGGACGAGCAAACTGTCAAGGTTCCTGATGATGTCATAGGGGTTCTTGTCACATGGGAATCCGTGCCACCTCCCCGAATGAAAGTTGCAAATTTTCATCGCAGACTTCCATTTGATGCTTCTCGAATTATTGACAGCTTTATTTTACAAGCACTTTGATTTTAATATGAAAGTCTTAAGACTTTCAACAGCAACACCTCCCGCGGTTGTATTGATTCTGTTTTCCTTTGCTTCCGTCATTTCCACAAAATGATGGAAGCAGAGGCAGCAAAACCGAGTGATTTGGAATATCCAAAGTGAGAAAAAAGCATTGTGAGGGACGCATTTCGAGACGATTTCACTAAACCCGCAGATTTATAGAAATTCTACAGCCCAGTAGGAAAATTCTGGATCTCCCTGAATTCCACTAAACCTTGCGACATATAAAACAGGCGGAAGGTTCTAATGAGTACTGGCAGTAGCGTGCCCAGGAAATCCGAATGGAGTGGGGTTGCCATATGAAAAACTGATTACCCACACAAAGGGGGGGGTTTAACATGTGAAAAAAATGATAACCCACCCTGTATTTGTGGCCCAATTATAAAATTTGTGAGAATCAAACCTGTAAGATTGACCCCAATGGACGGGATTATGACCCCCTTGGGCACGCCACTGAGTACTGGATAGGCTGGGCTGTCTCATTCAACAGTGAATGAGGGTCATTCCAAGTCAAATCAATACAGCCGGAACTTCATCAAAAGTACAATTCAGCGGTTCCTTGAGACAAACTCTGCAGAAGATCGTCATCGATCAGGTCGACCGAAGTCTGTGTCAACCACTGCCAACATCAAAAGGGTTAGATCTCTGCTTCGTCGAAATCCCAAGCAATCGCTGAGAAAAATGGCCCAAACGACTAAGATAAATCGCGAATCGCTCCGGCGAATTGTCAAGAGCAAGCTGAATCTTCGGCCTTTCAAACTCCAAAACGCTCAACATCTCACGGAGCAAGCGAAGAAAACTAGGCTGCAACGATCGCAGGCCCTTCTCCGTCGGTTCGCAGATGGCTGCCATCGCAATATCCTCTTTTCTGACGAGAAGCTCTTCACGATCGAGCAATCATTTAACTCTCAAAATGATCGAGTATGGGCAGCAGAGTCGTCAGGTATCTCTCAAGACCTCCGACGTGTCTCTCGAACACAGATGCCAGCTTCTGTGATGGTGTGGGCGGGTATCACTGCAGAGGGGCGCACGCCCCTGGTTTTTGT